CCCCCCCCCCCCCCCGCCCCGCACGCAGGCAGCCCCAACGCGAACCACCCGGAGTGCCCTCTCTCGCACGTGTTCCACACGAGGCCGTGGGGAGCAGTTTCTGTCAGGCTAGTCAGCGATCCCACTCATGGATCCACAGCTGCTCACAGGGACGTGGCCCCGGGGAAAGAAAGCACTAGAAGTCACAACACCTGGCCTCTGACCCACGTCTCCCTGCTCGGAGGAGAAACCCAAGCGTTTCTTGTGGCCTGAGACCAACCCTCACCTGCAGACCGGAGACAACGTCATCACTACCCAAGGTTCGAGCAGGCAGGGTGTGGGACGGTGGGGACCGCGGGGACGGCTCCGTCACCTCCGAGGCCACGTGCGAGTGCGCACGGACACTTCCGGCTCCCAGTCGTACGTCTACATTCGCCAACACTCGCGGGAGGCAAGTTAACCCGTCCAGTGTTTCCCACACCCTCCTCCAGCCCACCCGCAGCACTAAGTGCCAACAGCATGCGTGCTTTGCACGTCCAGGAGTGAGCAGGAGTCTGCCAAGCGAACCACATCCGGGCTGCGCCAGCGTAAACTCGGCCGTGCCCCGGCTTCAGGCGGGACACCAGGTGGAGGGGGATCACGCTCTGCGTGACTAGAGGCCCCTGCTCTGCCACGGTCACCGGGAGCAGCAGGAGCGCAGCATAACAGGCCGAGGACGCGTGTACACGGCGACCCCAGGGGTGCCTCTCGAGCGAACACCAAATCCCAGAGCTACCCGGGAGCCCTCCAAGCAGACAAGAGGGCAAAAGTCAGAGAGCAGCTCACCTCCTTCTGCAGGAGATTCCACTCTGTCTCGCTGACTAAGCGGTAGCCGCTGGGGGACACGTACGCACTCTCCACACCCTGGGTGACGCTGGAGAGGAGGGACGCGGTCTCTTCCTGCTCTGGTGTCATGGCCTTGATTGCTCTCTCCTGGTCTTTGGTTAACATAAACCCACTTGGCATCTGCAGCGACCCCAGGGAGGCGGTGTCAAAGTTCTCAGACACCGAATCCGCTCCCACCAACGGCCCAAAATCCGACTCGTCCAGGTTTCCAGCAGACTTTGCCTTGTAGTTGTAGCCCAAAGCTTTGGATTGCAGCGAGCCCGAAGGCCCCAGGCTGTCCGTGGACTGTGCTCTCCTGAGGCCGTCTTTAAACGTGTCGCTGTCCGATTTACTGAACGGGTCTCCAGACGGCAACAGCAGGTCTGCATCTAAGGAGTGCACGGAGCCGCGGGTGCTATCCAGGCGCTCCTGATCCTGAGATGGGAGAACGCACAGCGCCCAGTTAGACGACTCTCTAGACTCAGAGAGAAAAGCTACCGTACACGTTACGTAGGACGATCGTTAGCACGCTCCTCCACGCGCTCTGAACAGTTACTGAGTGTCTGCTACCTGCTGGGCACTAAACCAGGCACTCGGTACAACTGCAACCCTCACCTCGACATGTTCACAGTTTCGTGCAAAAAACTAACAAGCAAGCAGGCTATTAGAATGCCCTCGGTAATAAAATTACAGGCCAGAGACCTGTACTGGATGTTCTGGGGCCTCAAGGAGGGGCTTCGGCCCAGACGGAAGGGGTCAGGGAAGGGCTCCTTGAAGTTCAGGGTCAGGTGTGCTGAGTGGGAGGTGCCTGCTGCATATCCACACGGAGATACCCACCCAATGGATGGACGTAGTCTTTAGAGGCCGGAGAGTGACCACCATGTAATGATAGAGCGTCCACAGCAAATCAGAACCCCTAGGAGGAACACCAAACCTGTCCACTTTGGGGACGGACAGAGGAAGGAGTAGCCTAAGTAGAAGGCAAATGAGGAGAATGTCGTGGGCGGAAGATGTAATCAACACAGCAGATGGGCTGCACTTGTGAAAGGAACGAGACGCAAAAGGTACCACGCGGTGTGATCCCATCCACGTGAAACACCTGGAACAGGTGAGTCCACAAAGGCTGGAAAACAAATCAGTGGTTGCCAAAGGCTGAGGGGAAGGAAACCGGGCAGTGGCTCCTTAGTGGATGTGGGGTCTCCTCTGGGGGGATGAAAACGTTTTTTTGTTTGTTTACATTTCGAGACCAGACTGAGATGTTGGTTGCACAACGCTGTGTATGTACTTAAATGCCACTGAATCGCGTGCTTGTAATGGCTAATTTTACGATGCGTGGATTTCATCTCAATTAAAAACCGCCTGGTGCAGCCCATTCCCAGGTCAGAAACGCACACCGTGCTTCCAGACGCAACCGTACAGTTATCGGGAAAATCAGAAAACGAGAAAAAAGTCGTAAGTTTTTCTTGAAATCCAGTGTATTTAATTTAAAGGACTAGTCTTTATTTTAACATAACATCCCGTCTACTTCCTATTGTTTAATGATTTTAAGTTTGCTTATTTATTTTGAAACAAAGTGCAAAGAGTGGGGTGCTGTCAACACAGAGCCCAACACGGGGCTCAAACCCACAAACCGTGAGATCATGACCTGAGCCAAAGTCAGGCGCTTAACTGAGCCTCCCAGGCACCGCTAAAAATGCTTGTGACCTTAAATTCGGCAGTTCTCTCCCCGAAGGCATCAGTAAGTCCGTGATGATTTTTGCCCAGGGAAGAGTTCCATATAACAGCAATATGGTATCACTTACAACGATCAAAGCTCCCAGACTAGTGAAAGACAGAACCAGTCTGGCTGTTAGTCTCACAATCCTCTTTCTGATTCTCTGTATTTTATGATGTTTTGCCATGTGAGGACCTTGCTGGCCAGGCACAGACCGCCCCTCCAAGCTACCTAGTGCCTCCAATCAATAAAAACTCACCCGTGAACACACCTCTCACATACACCCGACCAGCCCCGTGTCCAGCCGCCTGTCCCTACCCTTTTCACGCTTGCCTCACTACAGTAAGCCCGTGCTCCCCTCACCCTGAAGCAGCACGGGGCCAGGTACCCGAACCGAGGACAGATGCCACCCCAAGGCCCGCCACACCGTGCACGCCAGCTGGCCTTGCCTTCCCTCCAGGAGTGTCAGAAGCGGCTGCGACCCAGGACCCCTCCCCACAACCTTCTCCTGCTGCCTCACGACCGACTCGGATGCATCTCAGGTGGCTCTACCCGGTGTGCGTGTCACAGGGTCCCTAGAGACCGTGACATAAATTTCTCTTTCAATGGCACTGACCTTTAAACCTGGGCACAAATCCACGAGTACGGCCGTAAGAAATTATGGAATATTTGCACACCGAAATAGTATCGGCCGTTAAATACCGGTTGTGGGCAAACGTTTGCAGCATGATACCCGCTGAAACCTTTACGATGGATTTCAGTGAAAAGCAATTTACACAGAACATCACGTCCAGTTGCAACATGGGCTATGTTTAAAAAGCAAAAACAGAAACACATATACGTTAACTTTGGAAATGAAGAGAAAGAAAGAAGAGGTACACACCAAAACGCCAGTGGGGACTCTCTCTGGGCAGGAGGGTCACCCACCGGCTCTTTTTGTTTCAGAGGACCTGCCTGCACTTTTCAAGTTTTCCGCACCGAACACACGCTTTCATAGTGAGAAAGGGACACTCTAATCCTGAGGCTAAACACAGGAGGTCCCACAAACTCCAATTGTCTTCAGCTAGAAATCGAGGTCCTTCAAAGCAGCACCGACTAACTTCACGTCCTCAGCTGAACATGAACCGTCAGGACACAAGGCGGGTGCACTCGGCATTCAAACCGCAAAACGCCAGCCCCGAGAGCCGAAGGTTTTGAAGAGCCAGGAAATCGTGCTGAGCACAACACATACTACAGACCAAAAGGGACACAATCAAAAGACTTTTGAAAAGCCTCGTGGTAAACGACAACAAATAAATCTCCCTTTCCTGTTTTCCTGCTCAAATATTTTCTGGGAAGTCTGACGTTGTTCAAACGTTCCTGCACACGGATACCACATGATACTCGGCAGGACCCGGAAACAGCCCTTCTCCTGGGAGGCAGGCTGTTGAAAGGCACTCGGCAGAATCAGGCTGCTTGGTTCCGTGTGTGCACCCCACAATGAAGACAGTGAGTGACACAGCAATGACGTCCTGCTTCTCAGCGTCCGTTAGGGTGTTTTCCCTTAAAAAAATGAGCAATCCATAAACACGGAGACAGAAGCCACGAGGACGCAGATGACACACAGCCAACACGAATCCACACACGATCCAGAAGCACAGTCCCCGTGCCCACGACACCAGACCCTCTCTGTCACTCTGTGTCACAGGCCAGAAATGAGGGGCGGGGGGCAGCACGAACAAGGGTTGTGGGCATGGACACGGCGTGGGGTCACCCAGCTGTGAAGGCCCTTCCGTGGCCAGCCAGGGGCTTCACTTTTACCCTGGGCGGGAACAAGAGCCTGTCCCCTGCTGACGCAGGAGATGGCCGAGAGGACCCAGCGCCCAGAGAGAGGTGGGAGCCAGGCAGCACCCCAGGAGAGGGAGCCCGCGGCGCACAGGGCGGCACGACGGGACAGCGAGTGTGGCCACAACCGCGCAGGATCTGCCGGGGCATGCAGGGGGCAGCGGGTGGATAGGCCGCGGATTGGCCACCTGCGGAGGTGCCCGCTGAGGGGGAGGGGTGTGTCTGCGCGTGCGAGCATGGCCCCGGTGCCACGGGAACGCCTCTGTCCACGTTGGGGCTGCCCGCTCCACCTGACGCCCCCGCCGGAGACCTCAGATCTGCTAACACGGGGGGACATGCTGTAGGGAGTTCAGTGTTTGAACACTTCACACACTCTCTTCTAAACAGAAAGCTCCAAGTATTAGCAACATTTAATATTCACATCAGAAAAGATTTTACAGTTTTATCATGTAAAAGTTTTCTCCTACGGTTTTAATTTTGGAACCACGGGGAAAGAGAACGTCTAATGACTTCGGAGATGGTGACAGAAGCCACCACGCGTCTCCAGGAGCACCGCCTAGGGTCTAAAACAGACATAAACACTACCGTCTTGTCGAATGCCACGCGAGGAGCTGCCTACGTCCTCCCCATGAAGGACGCACCCGACGCAGGAGAAGCGACACGTGGTCATACCACGTGCGCAGCGACCCTGAGGGCAGACTCACTATACCTCCTCGTTTGACAGCTGGGCTGCAGATTCCTCCTGCGCTAACGCGCACACCACTGGCGCCTTCACCTCCTCCTCGACCTCTGCTTTTTTATGGTCCTTCCTCTTGTTCAATCTCTGTTGTTCATCTTCCTCCTGAAAGTCACAGAAAACGCATACATGCGTTACCCAGGGCGGTCCACACCTAACGATTCATACGGTTCTTTAGCCACTCAAACAAAGAGCAAAGCCTTACGAGGAAACTGGACACTGAGGCCTGTTTTGGGATCGCATCTAAGGATATCCGGTCAGAACAAAATGTTGTAATACTAGAGGCACAAAGAAGCAAAGCCCGTCATGAAGACAAACCAGGACACAGGTTCCAAGAAGAGTGTCCACGTGAAAGAAACACGAAACAAACCGCCCCCCTCTTCTTCAAGAGAGAAAACTTACATGAACAATTCTCTGGGTGATGAGAGAGACCGCGAGGGCAGGACGCAGCCATCAGAAACACGTACAAATTTACGTGGAACACACAGGAAGGCTTGAAGCTGATGTGACAGTGAGCTCGACAAACATGAACAGGCTACCTCAGTGCCCCAAATGGCCTCATGGGAGGGACAATCACAACACAGACAAGGATGGATGAGGTTCTGCGGCACTAAAGGACAATCTCATCGGGAGGAGCTAGAACCGGGGCCAGAAGCAGGTCAGCCGGGTCTGGAAGCGGCAGTGACAAGAGCCTGCCGGCCGCGTGAGAGCGGCAAGCGAGGGTCCCGGGAAGGCAGGCGGACGGGGCAGTGTCGAACAATCTCCGGGGCCGAGAAGACACAGCTCGGGAAATGAGAGGTGAAGACTGGGGCAGGGAGTTAGAGATCTGTCATCAGCCCCCACCTCATCTGGAGAGTTCTGGTGTGTGTTCCGACACCCATACCGCACGCAGCTTTACATGTAAAACCTTAGCACGGCGCTGACATATGGAAAACCCTCCGTAAATGTTAGTTAAAGGCCTTAAGTGACCGGTTCCGGCATTTAGACGGTCTTAGCGGACAGCAGGAGGGCATGGTCAGACCTGTACTTTAGAATCTAAATCCTCAGGGTGGCTGTGTCTGCACAAAAGAAGGATGAGTCAGAATTAAAACAAAAGACATTTTAAGGACAGAACATCTGAAAACCAAAACCCAACCCAAGTCACACAAGGTCACTTGAAAGCGGCTCACGATGCCTAGAAAGCTTCCACGCGGCTTCCCCGGGGAGGTATTTGCACCCACGCGCAACGCACTACGGGGCACCAGCTGCACTGCTACCGGAAATGGAAAAGAAACAAAGACGACGGGACCCGCGTGGAGAGAGCAGGGAGGGGGGTGGCGCGGCACTTAGCGAGGCCGACGGCTGCCTGCGGGAGCAGGTGCCCCGCCACGTGGTGAGGAGAGGAGGCCGTGGAGTGCCTCTGCTACAGGCCTGCGCGACACGAGCCAACCCGAAGACGCCCTAAAACACGGCAACGCCCGGGAGGCGGCCTCCCAGGCGACGGCTGCGGATGACACGCGGTCGTCCCCGAAGGGAGGTGACCGGCGGACTTTATCGCTTTGCCTTCGCCACAAATTTCTTTGGCAGGAGATGTATCTGTGTACTGCTCGTGTCGGCTCAACAGGTTTTAAAGGTAAGGAGAAAAGAGGGTCTCGGGCGCGCGGCCCGCCAGGCTCTGGCCTTTTCAGGCCGGTCCACACCTCCCTCCCCACGCGGTCCCTTCCGGTGCGGCCGCCGGGGCCATGTCACGGAGACGCGGCCCGGACAAAACTAGTCCGGGAGCCCCGGACAGAGCCGCGCAGAAGGCTCTTCTCAGAAGTGCGCACCGTTCCGAAGACGGTGGTGGCTACATGGGCTCTGTGCCCCAGACGCAGCCATTTCCAAAGCCGCGGACCCACGCCCCTCCGCCCGCCGGAGCTGCTCCGACTCCGCGGTCGTGGGGTGGGGGGCGGGGGTGCCGCTCACCTGGTCTCTCCTCCGCAGCGCCTCCACCCGCCGGAGCTGCTCCGACGTGAGCACGACCTCCATGCGCTGCATGTCCCTCATCAGCAGGCGCTGGGACTCCAGAAACTGGTCGTTGGCTCTCTGCCACGTGTGCTTCAACTGGTTGTGTTCCTGTCGCTCTTGTTCCAGGAGCCGGCACACTGTCGGGGACCCCCAACCAAGACACCGAACTTGAACGGCAGACCATGCCCGCGGCACGGAGCTGCCAGACCGGGTCTGGCCACTGGCCTGTCCCGCCGGAGTCGGGATGAGGACCCAGGGCTGACCGGCCGTGGGACACACGGCAGCTGTCCCGCCTCTCCCAGAGCAGACCCTCCCCGAGCCCCCTGTAATGGCGGCGTGGACGAGGGGCCCCCGTGCTCAGGAAGCGCTAGAAACCCTGGTTAAATGAATCTTTGAAGGTTCCTTCCCTGCAGGACCTGGAGCTCAGCCTCTCCAGCGTGTGTTTTCTCAGAGGAGCTCCCAAGTTCACATGACCGGACGTCCATTCCCACACCACTCACCGCACACGCGTGCTCGGGAACGCGCCGTAGGAACGGCTGCTCCGGAAGCCGAAGGCACAGTAACCACTCCCCAGCGTCCTTACACACACGCTGATACACCTGTCACCCAGAGACCCGCCCTGAGCCCAGGCCGGCCCTGACCGTCCAGGATCAGTCACGGGTCCCGTGTAATGGCTGGTCCTGCCGGTACTCGGCGCTCGGCCGTCTTGGACCGACAAACGAGCGGGTGGCATCGCCGTCCCTCAAGCCACAAACCCGAGAGAACACTCGTACCGCTTTCTCGTCTCGCCCCAACACAGCCCTCTGTGACTGTGCCAGGTGACGGCCAGCCTCCGCCACCTGCCTCGGACCAGCCCTCACGGCTCAACCGGTACGCTTCCCGGCCTGTCCTCTGGACTGCTGGCAAACTGAACTTTCTGAACCGCACAACTTATGTTACCACTCGCAGTTTAAAGCCCAACAGAGAGGCCAAGCACGAGGCTCCATACTGTCCAATGCCACTCAGACAGAAGTCCAGGACAGGCAAATCTGTAGGCACAGAGAGCAGACTGGCGGCTGCCGGGAGCTGGGGCGGAGGAGGACATGGCGAGCGACTGGGAACGAGCACGGAATTCCCTTCCGAAGTGGTGAGAATGTCGTGGAATTAGCGGTAACGGCTCACACCACACCTTTGTGAGAACAGACTTTAAAAGAGCCAACACCATGGCATGTGAATTAGGTCTCCATAAAGCTGTCATTTAAGAAAAACATTTGAAAGAAGCTCGTTCCTGCCCAGAGGCCAGAATCCGAGTCCCCGGGCAGAAGGCGTCCACGACCCAGGTCACGTCAGCATGTCAGCCTCTCCCATCACGTCTTGCCCCGCTGCCCTCACGTCCTAACTTGGCCGGAGCTCCTCCTTCGCCTTGTCACACCCAGGCAAATGGCCTGGGACATCAAGTCCATGTCTGGCCACCTGACAAACACCCACCTCTCTTTACAACTTCTCTTAAGAAGCTCACCAGTGGCACTGCCGCCTCCAAGCCCAGCACCCGTGACCGGCCACAGCGGTAACTCGGTGGCATGGCTACTGTCCCCAAGTCAGGCTGCAGGTTACACGGATGCTCGACTGTTATCGGCCTTCCTTTCACTGACCTACGATTTTTGGTGTGAGTGTTCCAGAACGGAAATCGTCCCCTTACTCGTTTTAATGAGACTTCTCAGATCCTTTTCCAGATGTGTCAAGGGGATTAAGGGCCGGGCACACCGTTTAAATGGAAATCCCTACTTCTTTTGGACATTTTCAGAGTTTGCATGTCTTTTCGATGGCAGCAGCACATATGAAACATGCTTCCAGAAAGCCAGAGACTCACTCAAGCTTTGGGTCATTTTCATAACATTTTGTGAGATAATTCCGTAGGCCTTTATAATTTCAGCTTTCCACTCCCGGGGGAAAGAACGGACTCATTCACAAACCTAAATTACTGGTGGAAGAGCTGTATTTCCCACGGCACTTGATACACTTAAAAGTGCCCACTGTGGGACTCTGACCCCACAGTCCTGCCCTTGCCCGTTAAAATATGTTACTAGTATCGCCCTCAACGTGGACGAGATTTCAGGGGGTCCATGCATTTAGGTGAGGAAAAAAGCTGGATCTTCATTTTCACTAACTCCTAACTGAAATGTATCATTTCCTTTAATTATAAAATGTGGGCAAGCAACCACAGTAAGTATGACAATACTCATGACGGTCACCAGCACAAGCCGCGGATGTGACATCTCTGTACAGCAGCTGCAGATCTTAAAAGATCACTGAGCTCAGTGCTTCAAAATTACAGTAGTTACTTTTTATTTAGTGCCTTAATAAAAAGCACCCTTGTTCCTGTATCTTAAGTCTGCAGTCATTTGTATTTTGATCACCATTTTATAGTAAGTCGTTTCTTCTGTATTTACTATTTTAGGGACTAAAAACATGATCCTAAGGGGGTCTCACGAGACCGCCAAGAGAAGTTCGTGACACAACAAAGGTTAAGAACCCCAGCAATTAAGACTCGCTAGCAGAATTAAAGACAAAAGTGGATCTTTATTTTAATGGGGAAAAGATAAGCCTTCTCCCCCAGGCCGGGGGAAAGAGAGTCAATTTCCGCAGAACCCCGCTAGCAGCCTCGTGAAATCAAAACCACTCCTCACAAACGGAGATGCTCCTCGGTCCTCGACCTGCCCTCCGGCCCCACTTTCCCTTTGGTAGAACTACCTCCATCAAGTTGGGTCTGGGGGCAAAAGCAGTTTAAGCAGAAGTTCCCGGCCCTCCTGTCTCTCTGCCCACACCTCGCGCCTTGTGAAGCTGTTCCATTACAGCCGCGAGTCTTTAGGCCTCACGGCTCCCAGGACAACACTCCCACCGACTGCAAGGCTTCCGGTGAATCCCTCATGTGCGGCCTCTCGGATTTGTTCTGGTTTTCTCAGAGACCGAGACTAAAACTACAGAGGATACATACTTACCTTCGTGCAATTCCTTCCGAAGTTTCTCGGCATCTTCCTGTAGAACAGACTTCTGAGTGTTCAGGACGGCTACGTACATCTCCAGATCAGTCCTGCAGGATTTCTCAGCTTCCAGATAGTGATTCAGCTCCTTAACCTGAAACAGAATGCGATGCTATTGAAGTAAAACCTACAATAGTTTCTACTCGAGACCTACCGGCGATGTATATGTATGTATATCTGAACGTGCCTTGAAAATAAGTGGAGTCTGTATTTACATAAGTTGAAAAAGTTAAACAATTTTTAATTAGAGACACACACACACACACAGTCTTCTTCATAACTGTATCCCCAGAGTGACACCATATGGGACACTCCTGTGCCTCGCTTTCCAAAAAGGCAGCTCCAGGGTGTAACTCCCAGAGCAACACGTACACGTGCTCATTTTGCACGTCACGGAGTTGTTGCAGGTTCTTTTCAAAACAGCAGTTAATTTCTAAAGATAAAAACAGTACCACACTCTTGTGAATTTGCTTTTCTTTGATTTCTGGTGAGGTGATCCCAAATGCCTTAAACTTATAAAAAGGGCACATTTCGAACAGGCACACACATGGGAAGGAAAAAAGAGGAAGTCATAATGGAAAAAATAGTCCCATGCTGTAATAAACACAAACTTGGAGGCGAGTGTGGGGTATGTTTTAAAATCACATCTTTTAAAGTTTACTTATTTTGAGAGAGTGAGAGAGAGCACGAGTCAGGGAGGGGCAGAGAGAGGGAGACGGAGACAGAGAATCCCAAGCAGGCTCTGCACCATCAGCACAGAGCCCAACGTGGGGCTCGAACTCACGAAACTGTGAGATCATGACCTGAGCTGAAATCAAGAGTCAGGATGCTTAACCAACGGGGACACCCGGGTGCCCCTAAAATCACATCTTTTAAAACATGTCTTATTCCTGCTTAACAATTAACTGTAATACTCAAATATTACCAAGACAGTCTCGTGTGTGAAACAGTTATGACCAAAGTGAAATGCAGTCTTGCCCCAGAGACTGATCACAGAATCACTTGGCCTGTCTTATAAACCGCCCATCCTAAGTTCTGGCTACTCGTGTCAGCTTTTTCCGTGGTTACGTCCAACTTCACTTTCAAGGCCACTTCCAAGCTTCTCTTCTTCCTACTTCTTCAAACTTGAAAATGCTGGCGGTCAAGTTTCCAGTGAACTTGACCACGCGTTAGTACTGGTCACAGGCTAAAATGATTGTTGAAGCAGCCACCTGACGCTTCCCTGGATGTGGTCACACGACCGAAGACATGAAGCAGGTGTGACAAAGCACTGACTGCTGGGAGGCATGTCCCTGTCACTGGAGAGGGCTGGACTCCAGCCGGTGATAAGGAGAGTCGGTGTGCAGACACACAACGGTATACAATCACTAATTCGACCTGCTACTACTTCTTAGCGCAAATGCCTGACTCGATTTGTGATGAATGAATCTCTAACCTCTGAAAGCTACTAAGCAGAACCCTGGGAAAGTGGTGCCACAGTATGTGAATGCCCTTGAATTCCATTTGCCCTAACACATAACAAAGCCAAAAAACACACGGACACCCACAAAAATCTAGGAGAGAGCTGGAGGGTGGGGTCAGGAAAGCTACCTCTAGGGACACCTATGGTACCAGCATCGGCGTGTGACAGAGGGAAGGGAAGCAATGACAACCCCAAAGACCCCGTATTTGTCAACTGGGGCTCCAACCGGACAATGGCAGCTGAAACTGCAAGAGTTTCTCGCACATTCCAGTAGTGTGTAAACATGACCAATTTGTGTGGTGGACTCACAACCTGCTGAGGGTGGGACACAGCTCCCCTGTCACGTTCACACCCGGGTCGCTGTCCCGTGTCCGGGCAAGTGTCTCCACCCTGCCTTCCTCCAAACTGTCCTGGGTACACTTCTGATCCGCCACTTCTCCGCGTGAATTCTGGGATCCACTTACCATTTTGCTTATTAAACCCTATTGGAATCTGGGTGGAATTCTGAGTTTATAGATGAATGTGGGGATATACTACGCGCCTTGTAATACATTATCTTTTCATTCCGGAACACACGTATTCAGACCTTCATTATAATGTATTGCGTAAAGATCTTACCCGTTTTTGTTTAGATATATTCTCGGGTAACACAGAGTTAGGCTTTTTTGGCGTTTTTGTTTTGCTTTTGCTACCGTGAATGGGATCTTCCCCCCGTTGGACAGATTACTGGGGTACACGAACACTATCACTTCTGTCTGTTGCTCTTGTTGGGACAACGTTCTTGAACTGTGGTCAGGTCTGACAATGTGTTTGTACGCCGTCCTGGTTTTCTACGTAAACCACCAAATCAATTTTGTTGTTTTCATTCCGTTCTTAAGCCCATCTCTCCGTCTCGTCTTGCTGTGTCATCCAGGGCCACAAAAACAATCCGCACAGAATCAGCTCACGTGGTTCCTGTCATGAATGGTAAGGCTGCTGAACACTCCTCATTAATGATAATGTTTGCTGATGGTTTGATAAACAGTTCTCATCAAGTCACTGGATGTTTAAATTTATCAGATGCCTTTCTGAAGCCAAGAAGAACACACTGCCCTTCTCCTACAATCTTCTCATGTGGTGCGTAACGATAGTGGGTTTTCTGGTGATACACCCTCCCTAAATTCCTGGGAATGTATCCTATTTGGCTGTTTTTCTTTTTTTTTTTTTTAACTACACTGTTGAGAATTTTTGTTTCTACGTTAAGTGAGATAGATCTAGAATGCCTTTCCTTCCTACCACTTTTCTGTGTGCTTGTAATGAAATCACGAAGGTCTCACAAAATCAGCAGGAGACCTTTCCTCCTGTTCTCTAACACACTTTGTAAAATATAAGGATCATCTCTTTCCAGGTTTGGAAAAACTTGCCCGCAAAACCCGAACGTCTTTCAGAGAGGAAACAGGAGAAAGGAAGATTTGACTCTAAATCTGACTATAAATTCACTTTCTTTAATAGTTACTACTTTCGGGGCGCCTGGGTGGCTCAGTTGGTTAACCGTCTGACTCTTGGTTTCAGCTCTGGTCATGATCTCGGTTTGCTGAATTCGGGCCACACACCAGGCTCTGTGCTGCCAGCATAGACCCTGCGTGGGATTCTCCCTCCCTCCCTCCCTCCTCCCTCCCTCTGCCTCTCCCCCACTCTCTTGCTCTCAAAATAAACTTAAAAAAAAAAAAAAAGTTTTCATTTAACCAAATTTCCTTCATTTCCTATTTGTTGGTATGACACTGTTCTGAGTATGTTTTGTTTTCAAGTCTCTACTGATTTGTGGTTATGTCCCCGTTCTGATTTGTAATGGTTTTTTTTTCTTGATGAGTCCTATTGGAGGTCTGTCTTACCAGCTTTCCCATTTTTCCCATTATGCTGACATTCTGAAGTTCTCTTCTGCTTTTCTGTTTCACTCATTTCTGCTCTCACGAATATTATAGATTTCCTAGTGTTCACATTGTACTATTGTTTGTTTTTTAGCTTCTTGAGTGAGATATTCAAATCACTCTAAATATCTTAGAATTCCTTTTTCCATGATTTTTTTCCATTTCCAGAGATTTTATTTTAGCTGCCGTTTTACTGTAAATAATTTAATTACAGAGATTTGAGTCTGCATAACAATCCTTCAAAACATGTTGACGCTTCGTGTCATTATGAGAAATATCATGTACCTGAAACTAACAATACTTTGTCTCACACACTGTCCTAAGCGTTCTATAGAATCCTATTAATAGCCTTACAAGGCATGCAGTAGAGGTATCTCCATTTTATAGTTGAGAAAACCAAACAGTAAGCTTAATTTCCCAAAGGTTCCCCCTGCTAATAAATGCTGAGCTCCTAACTCCTACACTCTATGACTACAGGAGATACAGTCCCCCTTTCCTGGCTACAGAATTCTGTGTGTCTGTTACATCTAAATTATTAATCTGGTTATTCAAAGCCCCCATATCCCTACTAATATTTTTTTCTGCCCACCTGATCACTTGCTATAAATCAGTTCTAAGCTCCGACTATAACTGTGAAAGTTAGTTTCCCCTTAATTGTCCCTTGTAGTTCACATATTTCAAGGTGTGTAAGAAACATTCAATCATGACTGTCTGATCCTACTGATGGATTATTAGATGGGGTCTCTCTATTCTTTTTTCTATTACATCCTAAATGTTTCATATCACAGCTGTTATATCAACTTTCCTTTGGTTAGAATTTATACGACATATCTTTAAATATCCCATTATTTTCAGTCTTATAATTTTATTTTAGGTGCATCTATTATAATCAATATAAATTTACGTTTTTAAAAATCCCATCTCTTTCAGTAGGTGATTATCAGTTCACATTTATTAGGGTCACGGACACATTCCCCTTTCCACACTCCTATGCTGTGCTTCTGTTTACTGCCTTTTTTAAATTATTTTTTCTTTCCTACTTTCAATTAATTGTTAAAATTATCGACATTCCCTCTGCTGTGTCTTCATGGCCAGCAAACCCAGCCATGCTCTAACCACATCATCTCTCAGACATCAATTCTGGGGCCAGCTTCAGGGAATGAAGTCAGCTTGGACCCATTCATTTTCCTCAACAAGAAAACGGATGAGATCAGGTCTCATTCTGACAAGAAAATGAACACTAACTTTGTACCAAAGCAAAACAAAACGGAGCACCACTATGGTGATTATTTAAACTATCCATACAGACAAAATCATCTCCAAGCTTTTTCTTTTTTTCTTTTCTTTTTTTTTTTTTTTTTTTTTTTTTTTTTTTTGTATTTTAAAGAAACCAAGATTCTTCGGATTCACAGTCTGAATGCCAGGGTCTGCCCCTCCATGACTAGCTGTGCTCATGGCATCAGGTCAGGGCATTGGGTGCAAGAACGGGCTACAACATCTCACAACCTTTGAGGCCTCCAGCTCTTTAACCTTGTCTTCAGCCTCCGTCAGCTTCTCTTTCAGAGCCGCAATCTCCTTCTCCATGGGCATCACAACAGATCGAAGTTTCTCAGCATCCTCTTGGGCCTACGGTTAAAAAGAATTAAATGCTACAACTTACCGGCTCGTTGCTTTTCTGAGAAACTCTGACTCGCACATCGTTAGACTGAACACAAGTAAGCCACCAGGCGCCGTACGAGAGCCCGTCGAACTGAACCACGTGTGCTTTCCGGTGCCGTAGGACCGTGAAGGCCAAGCCATCATCCCAATTTTCCCAGTGTTCCACTTAGAAATGGGAGTAGGTAGGAAAACGGATTCACTATGACACTGCTGACTTTTTAAATCAATTCATTAAATTCGAAAATACCCTATATATAAAAGTAAATACACATAGCACTTTAATTTTTACAACTCTAGTCACTAAATTCAGAACATCATACTTTCTTTGGAAATGGTTGGATGAAAGTACTGATTAGTTCATAAACATAAAAAACAGCACATACTTTCTAAAATGTTACAAAATTATGTTGCTATTAAAAAGCTTTCATCTTAGTTATTTCATTTAAAAAAACATTTTTTTGGTGGGGGCGCCTGGGTGGCTCAGTTGGTTGAGCGTCCTACTTCAGCTCAGGTCACGATCTCGCGGTCCGTGAGTTCGAGCCCCACGTCGGGCTCTGGGCTGACGGCTCAGAGCC